AGGTACGTTCTTTAAAAAGTCACTAGCGTTAAACTCCTTAAGACACTGCTTGTCTGAAATTTTCTTTATTTAATTCATACATGTATGTGACACTGAAGTCATAAGATTTGAAGTTGAAAATCATTTTCATGCAAGAAAATCACTTTTATAGCAGTGCTCCCTTGTATTCTCATTTTTGGCAATGATGCTGAGAAGTTCCATGGCCATTTTTGCTCCCGACCTCCTCTTTGAGGTTCTCAGGACATGCCTCAGTGTGTGTCATTATTTGATGTGCTATGGGTGGAGATGTGCATCCTTCAGTTCCAGAAAATTTTGTTTCTTGAAGGATTTCCTCCCATTTTCTCTGTCCTCTCTGGAATTCTGATTAAGTCCAGTATCTGATGAATGGTAATCCCAGAGAGAACAGGGCTGATCATCTTTCTTCTCTTTGTTCTCATATTGTCTTTTTGTTCTTTTTTTTTTTTCTTGGAGAGAGATTTTTATCTTTCAGCTCTTCTCTGGAATTGTTTTAAAAATGCTATTTTAATTCTCAACTCTTTTTGTTCTCTGTTCAATCTTTAATTATGGTATCTTTCCAAGGACATAGTTTTGCTCAACAACACCATCAATAAACCTTTATAACTGACATCTGTAGACTACTGCAATAACAGAATACCCACTTTTCTGAAGCTCACGTAGAACATTTACCAAGACAGACCACATTCTGAGCTATAGAATACACCTTAACAAACTTAATACAACAGAAATCATACAGTGTCTTTTCTCAGGTCAAAATGGAATTAAACCAGAAATCAATAACAGAAAGATCACTGAAAAATCCCAATATACTTGGAGATTAAACAACACACTTTTAAGTAACACATGCTCAAAGAAGAAATCTCAAGAAAAGTTTAAAAATATTTTGAACTAAATGAAAATGAAAATACAGCTTGTCAAAATGTGTGGGATGCAGGAAAAGCAGTGCTTAGAGGTTAGAGGGAAATTTATAACCTTGAATGCATATATTAGAAAAGAAGAAAGATCTAAAAGCAATCATCTAAGTTTCCACTACAGGAAAATAGAAAAACAAG